CCCAAAAAGCCCCCACCAGAGCACTTTCCCACCAGCAGAAGGCCCCCACCAGAGCACCCAGCCCAAAACGCCCCCACCAGAGCACTTTCCCACCAGCAGAAGGCCCCCGCCAGAGCACCCCCCACCAGAGCACCCAGAGCACGTCGCGGGCAAATGGTCTCGGCTTTCGGGTATTAGCTTTACTACTAAGAGGTGTGCTGACTGGGCACACTTGGCCACAAACCTCACTTGGTGGTATGGCTCAAGCCTTATTTGTACGGCGTCAGTTCCAGGCCCAAGCTGGAGGCTTAACCCTCCAGCAGCAGGAGGCAAACGTGAGGCGGATCACAGCGCCTCTCGCAGCTTAGCTGCTCGGGCGACTGCCTGGTCTCGGCAGCAGCCGCTCGGGCTCTGCTTCATGCGCGCCATCGAGCCCTCGCTAAGTTTAGGGTTTAGGGTTTAGGGTTTAGGGTTTGGGGCTTAGGGTCTAGGGTTTAGGGTTTAGGGTTTACGGGGATTTAGCGTTCCGGGGCTTAGGATTCAGATCTACTTTACGGTGTAAAATATGAAGAAATTGGGGCTTTATTAATTGATGCATGTAGAATTTATGGCCTATGAACAGAAGGCCAAACCCTGAGCCACACCCCCAAGAAGCTTGTTTCCTAGGCTCCTCTGCCCAAGGTTTTAAGTAGCCCAGCCTCATCTTGCAAGTTGGGTGCTTTGGCCGCCGCAGCGTCTTGCTTATGGTGTTCTGAGTGCTTGGACGATCGGGGCCGGCGTCTTAAAACCTGGTTCGGAGGAAGGTTTTAGGCTTTGGGTTTTAGGCTTAGGGTTTAGGGCTTAGGGCTTAAGATTAAAAGAACCCTGAAACCCCTGTGAAACATTTTCAAAAAATGTTCGAAACACCATAAACAACTGATTTAAAAAGACTCAGCGCTCAAGCCCTCGACCCTTAAAGCACTACACCCTATTAGACCGTAGGACTCATTAGCGTTTAGGGTTTAGGGATACATGTGTGAGGAAATTCACGCAGAATTAGAGCAATACTGTGAGACATGACAAGGCGACATGAGAAAACAAGGATCACAAGAACAACACTTGCAATCTTAAGCGCTAAAACTTGTATATCAACATCAAATGAAAACCCTTAAAACAAGATTCATATAAACACCAAGGATGTTAAAACACACAGACACAAGCAAAGGAACAGGTTAAACCCTAAACCCTGAACTCTCAAACCACAGTAATAAGCCCAAACTTGAACCTAAGGCCCTCACCCTAAACCTGCCCCAAAACACGTCTAGAGCCCTTGTAAGGAACCTTCAGCGCGCCCTAAACCCAAAGCCCTCAAGCCTTCACCTCGAAACCTTCGAACCCAAAGCCCCAAGCCCCAAAAACCCCTACGAGCCCTCATCATCTGAAAACCTAACCTTTCAACCCTAAACCTAAACCCAAAACCCGAAACCCTGAACCCGAAACCCTCAACCTAAACCCTGAACCCTAAACCCGAAACCCTCAACCTAAAACCTAAACCCTAAACCCTAAACCCCGAACCCTACACCCTGAACCCTAAACCCTCAACCCTGAGCCGGCGGCAGGCCCCCAGGTAGGCCACCAGCAGATTGTCAAAGGAAGCCTTCAAGTCCGAACCTCAGAGTTTTAGGGTTTAGGGTTTAGGGTTTAGGGTTTAGGGTTTAGGGTTTAAGAATTCAGGGTTTAGGCTTTAGGGGCTTAGGGTCTAGGGGTTTAGGGTCTACGGGTTTAAGGGGCTTAGGGTTTAAGAATTCAGAGTTTAGGGTTTAGGGTTTAAGGGATTCAGAGTTTAGGGTGCAGGGTTTAGGAACCAAGGGCTTAAGGGATTCAGGGTTTAGGGTTTGGGGGTTTAGGGTCTAGGGTTTAGGTTGCAGGATTGAGGGCTTTGGGTTTTAGGGTTGAAGGGATTCAGGGTTTAGGGTTTAGGGGTTTAGGGTCTAGGGTTTAGGGTCTAGGGGTTTAAGGGGTTTAGGGTTTAAGGGAATCAAGGTTTAGGTTGCAGGATTCAAGGTTTAGGGTTCTCGGGTTGAAGCGATTCAGGGTGCAGGGTTTAGGGTTTAAGGGATGCAGGGTTTAGGGTTTAGGGCCTAAGGGATGCAGGGTTTAAGGGCTTAAGGGCTTAAGGGTTTAAGGGTTTCAGGGTGTATGGGCTTAGGGATTAAGGGTTAAGGGATTAACGCTTTAAGGGTTTGGGAATTAAGGGTTCAGGGCTTGAAGGGTTTGGGCGTTAAGGGCTTAAGGGCTTAAGGTTTTCGGGTTGAGGGTTTTGCAATCAGGGTGTAGGGTTTAGGGTTTGGGGATCAAGGATCAAGGATGACGGGTTTAGGGTTTGGGGTGTAGGGTTTAGAGGTTTGGGATTTAGGTTTTAAGGTTAAGCGTGTTTTGAGGATTTAAGGGTTTGGGGATTAAGGGTTTAGGGGTTTCGTTTTGGGGCAAAGGTGTTTTTCCGGTTTAGGGTTTAGGGTTCAGGGATTACGGGTTGGGGTTTAGGGATTAAGGTTTTAAAGTTCAGGGTTTAAGGATTGAGGGCTTAGGGCCGTTTAGGGTTTTGGATTGAGGTTTTAAGGTTTAGGGCTTAGGAAACCAGCTCGCAGGCACAGAAACCTCCTCAGCCCTAGGCACTAGATCCTAGGCCCCCGGTCCAGCGCCGAACAACCGAAAGCAAGACCCCAAAACCTAAACACTAAACGTTAAACCCTAAACCCAGAACCCTAAACTCTAAACCCGAAACCCTAAACCAATAAAAACCCTAAAGCCCTAAACTCTAAATCCCAAGCCCAAAAACCCGAAACCCTAAACCCTAAAGCCCTAAACTCCAAACCCGAAGCCCAAAAACCCGAAACCCTAAACCCTAAAGCCCTAAACTCCAAACCCGAAGCCCAAAAACCCGAAAGCCTAAACCCTAAACCCTAAACCCGAAAGCCCCAGCTGGGATTCTGGCTGAGCTGTAGACCTCGGGCCTGCAGTGGACATCTTCGGCTTCGGAAGCTACTCTGAACTGAGGGCGAAAGGTTCAGGGCTAGGGTTTAGGGTTTAGGGTTTAGGGCTTTTGTGGTTTTTGGGTGTAGGGTTTCGGGGTTTCGGGTTTTGGGGTTAAGGGTTTAGACTTTAGGGTTCAGGGTTCAAGGTTTCGGTTCTTGGCTTCAGGGCGATGGATTTGGGTTCAGGGCTTCGGGCCAAAGACATCCTCAGTCAAGTTTCGCTTGTGTGCCCACACGAGAAAAGCAGTGAAGCGGCCACCCAAACCCCCAAACCCTAGACCCTAGCCCGAAGCCCTAGAACAATGAATCAAATGACCGGAAGCCCTAAACCGGAAACCCTAAATCCCAAAATCTGAAACACCCATGAGGGCTTTAGTCAGAGAGGGTCGCGGTGATCACCGCCGGCGCCGGCCCCGCCTGGATGTCGCTGTTAGCGCCTGGCTTCTCGCTTGCAGGTTGTGGGGCGTCGGGTTATACCGTTCAGGGCTTTGGGTTTGGGGTTGTAGGGCTTAGGGTTTAGGGTATAGGCTTTAGGTCGCATAAAGGTACCAGGTAGGGCTTTAAGGGGCGTTGCGGTAGCAGATCTCAACCCTACTGGTCTCAAAGCACATCATGAACTCCTGAGCCAACACTCCGAAAATCTTCCCCAAAGAGAGCCCCAAAACCCGAAACTGCAAAACCCTAAAACCCTGATAAAACCCCCAAACCTTAAAAACCCCAAAACCCGAAACAACGAAACCAAAGCATGGGCTTTAAGAGCCTAAAGAGACTGAAGGTCCAACACCCGCAAAAGACTCCGAGACGCAGGGCCAGAGAATCCTCGACCCTGAGATATGATTGACTTCCGCACATATTTAGGGTTTAGGGATTTGGGTTTAGGGTTTAGGGTTTAGGGCTTAGGGTTTAGGGTTTAGGGTTTAGGGTTTAGGGACCCGAATCACTAGCATTCATTGCTATTCCTCGGGCAATGTGCCCCGAAACCCTAGTCCAACTGGCAAGGCCCCGATACCCAGCTCCTATAGTAATCCTCAAAGGAACCTTTGAAAGGAACCCTATTCTAGTTGCTGAGGCTCCACCCTAAACCCTAAACCCCATACCCTAAACCCTGAAGCCTAAACCCCATGCCCTAAACCCCAAACCCAAAACCCTAAACCCTAAACCCCAAACCCTAAACCTTCCCTTTAGCAACCCTTTTGACCGAAACACCCTAAACCCTAAACCCTAAACCCTCAACCCTAAACCCTAAACCCAGCAAGCCCAGCCTTCCAGAGACACCACGACCTGCTCTTGCAGCTTCTTGTCCTGCACTAGGGGTCTTCGGCTTTGGACGTTAGGGGTTTAAGGTATTATGGTGTAGGGTTTAGGGTTTAGGGTCTAAGGTCTTGGGGTCTTCGGCTTTGGACTTTAGGGGTTTAAGGTCTTGGGGTGCAGGGTGTAGGGTTTAGGGTCTAAGGTCTTGGGGCGTAGGGTTTGGACTTTAGGGTTTAAGGTCTTGGGGTGTTGGGTTGAGGGTTTGGGGTTTAAGGTCTTAGGGTTTAGGGCTTGGGGGTTTGATGTTTAGCTTCTTGTAGCTTCTGTCCTGCAACTTAGCGTGGGGCTTAAGCCCTTAGGGTCTTTAGCTTTGGACCTTACACCCCAAGTCTTCAACCCTGCACCGTCTTATCCTGCAACTGAGTAACTGGTTTAAGGGCTTTGGGTTTAACTTAGGCCTTAAAGGCTTAGGGCTTAGGGCTTAAGGGTTTAGGGTTTAGGGTTTCGGGTCTCGGGCTTCGCTTCAGGGCATGGGGCGTTGGTTGAAAGTGTTGGGTTTCGGATTGTAGGACTATGAAGGTAACCCTAAACCCCAAATCCCAACCCCTAAACCTTAAACCCTAAACCCTAAACCCTAAACCCCAAACCCCAAACCCTAAACCCTAAACCCTAAACTAGCTTTCGGCAGGCATGTGGGAGTTCCATGGTTGGGGCTGCGGGACGTAGGCTCCAAGGTGTGGCCGACAGGCCCGGAGCTTCAAAGTCTAGGGTTTCGGGTTTAGGGTTTGGGGTTTTGGGTTTAGGCTTTATGGTTTAGGGTTTAGGGTTTAGGGTTTAGGGTTTAGGGTTTAGGGTTCTAAGGGCTGGGGTTGAGCGTTCAGGATTGATGGTTTAGTGCTTAGGGCTTAGGGTATGGTTTCGGGACCCCCAAACCCAGCTCTTAGACCCTAATGAGACCCCGAGCACCTCAAACCTTAACCGTAAACCTCCGACCTTAAACAGCCGCTAGACCCCAAACAGTAGTATAGGGGCCTTCATAACTAGCATAGGCATTATGGGGCCCATTATACTATACTAAAAATAAGGAACTCCCAACAGTATTGGTACTTATTTAGGCCCCTAAACCCTAAACCCTAAACCCTACACCCTAATCCCTAATCCCTGGGTATGACCCTTTGGGTCCCTAAACCCTAAACCCTAAACCCTCATCCCCGCAACAGTACGCCCCACAACACGAACACCTGTCGGCAGAGCCTTCGCGGCAGCGAGAAGGGACCGGACGACCAGCTGCGCTGCACGTGCCTTTACTGGCTTTAGGAGCTTGCAGTTTCGGGTGCGGGGCTTGTGAGATTTAGAACTCATCTGCAGTGTGGCTCTAGACTGGATGGACGACAACCTAGACCAAAGCCTGCAAATTTTCTGTCCCAAAAAGTTTCGACGGCGAACCCCTAAACCCTAAACCCTAAACCCTAAACCCTAAACCCAACTCCATTCAGGCCCACCCTCATGATTGCAGGAGCTCCTGGGTCGGAAAAAAGAGGGGGCCATAGTACTTCTAACGTTTTGGGTTTAGGGTTTAGGGTTTAGGGTTTAGGGTTTAGGGGAGTACAAGGCAAAGACCCAAAGTAAGGAACCCCAAAGAACAGATGCTGCTCCCGGCTAAACCCTAAACGCTAAAAACCGTGGCGTCTAAGATAGGGGCCTCAGCGCTTAGAATAAGGAACCCCCAAAATAATATTGGTCATGATGTATATAGGCCCCTATATTAGGGCGTGGGAGGGTTGGGATTTTTCGCGCTAAACCCTAAACCCTAAACCGAAAGCCCTAAGCCCTAAACCCTAAACCCTAAACCCCTAAACCCTAAACCCTAAACCCCAAACCCTAAACCCTAAACCCCTAAACCCTACACCCCTAAACCCAATCCTTGCGCCTGAAACTCGTCGCAGTCTTCATCCTCCTCGCTACCGATGCAAGAGACGAGGACCGTGTAGAGGTTCTCATCCTGCTAACCCCAAGGGCTTTGGGTTCTGAGGGTTTAGGGCTCTGAGGGTTTAGGGTTTAGGGCTCTGAGGGTTAGGGTTTAGGGTTTAGGGTTCTGAGGGTTTAGGGTTTAGGGCTCTGAGGTTTAGGGTTTAGGGTTTCGGGTTCTGAGGGTTTCGGGCTTGAGGTGATGTTTGAGGGTTTACGGTTTGGGGTTTATAAGTTTCTGGGGGTTTCCCGAAATTGAGGGTTTCAGCGCACTTTGGGGTCGAGGGTCTTCACTGCTTAGGGCTTCAGCGCCTTGGGTGGCATGTTTAGTTTAACATCTGCGGCCTCAAGATTCCGCACACCCCTGCACCCGAAACCTTCAGTGTGGCGAGCTTCGCCAAAATTACAGATCTTAATTAAAGGAAACTACAGGTGGGGAGTTTAGGGTATACAGGTATATAGACCTTCTATAAGGCTTCTGTAATGGCAACTACCACCTGAAAATGTCCTAGACTTAAACCAATGCTCGTTTCTACTGAACGGTCTCCTCATTCAGCCAGGCCTGGACAAACCCTAAACCCTAAACCCTAAACCCTAAACCCTAAACCCTAAGCCTCCAACCCTTGTGCAAGTGGGCTCCTTGCCCGGGCGATTCCGCTGCAGGACCTCCCGATGCGGACGAAATGCAGGCTAGGCCCTGAAACGCACCCCAACCTTGAGGGTTTAGGGTTTAGGGTTTAGGGTTTAGGGTTTAGGGTTTAGACTTTAGGGTTTAGGGGACCCTAAACCTTAAACCCTCCATCTACATCCCCTGATGTATAAGGGCCTTGGGAACTAGAAGAGGGTCCACAACCAGGAACCTACAAAGCCAAAACATCAAACACTCAAACCCTAATTTTTCGGGTGAGGCCTTTGGATTTGAGGTTTAGGGATCGATGGCTTTAAGACCCCTGCTACACAACCCCAGAAACCGCCCTGAACCCCATAAACCCTCCAGAATGCAAAACTTTAGATCCGCAAAACAGAAGCCACGAGCCCTGAATCCTAAACCCTAAAACCCCTCAAACCTACAACCCCAAACCTTGAACCCTAAGGCCCTGAAGCACAAAAGCCGACAATCTAAACCCCAACCGAGGTCTCAAGCAAGAACTAAAGCGTTTGCAGGCTACGTACATTCAAAATGCTGAAAAAAAGCTAAGATGTCCAACGTAGTATAACATAGAATACGGATTCCAAGGGGTGCATGCGTAATTCTTCAAGCTTCTATATACCATACTAGAGCCGTTACACAGCCCGAGCCCCCATAGGTTATCATAGAGCCCTAAAATCGCCAGAAACTCATATATAGAGCCCTTGAAGAACCCCCAAATCGAACCCTCCACCCTAAACCCCAACCCCGACCGGTTTGTAGACCCCCTAAACCCGAAGCCCTAAGCCCTAAGCCCTAAACCCTAAGCCCAAAGCCCTAAACCCTAAGCCCAAAGCCCCAAGCCCCAAGCCCCAAGCCCTAAACCCTAAACACTGAACCCTAAGCCCCTTAGCCCTAAACCCGAAGCCCAAAGCCCCAAACCCAAAATCCGAAACCCTAAACACTGAACCCTAAGCCCCTTAGCCCTAAGCCCGAAGCCCCAAACCCAAAATCCGAAACCCTAAACACTGAACCCTAAGCCCCTTAGCCCTAAACCCGAAGCCCTAAACCCCAAACCCAAACCCTAAACCCGTACACCCTGAACCCCGACTTCCCGGGCCTCATGGACGACCTTGGCTCCCGAGTCGAGCCTGGGCGTTGAAGTAACCAGGGCGAAAAAAGTATGGATTTTATTTCATAACGGTTCCTTTAAGGAACAAGTCCCAAAAAAAGAGTATGGACTTTTATTTCATAATGGTTCCTTTAAGGAACAAGTCCCAAAAAAAGTATGGACTTTTATTTCATAATGGTTCCTTTAAGGAACAGGTCCCAAAAAAAGTATGGACTTTTATTTCATAATGGTTCCTTTAAGGAACAGGTCCCAAAAAAAGTATGGATTTTATTTCATAACGGTTCCTTTAAGGAACAAGTCCCAAAAAAAGCATGGAACAAGTCCCAAAAAAAGTATGGATTTTATTTCATAATGGTTCCTTTAAGGAACAAGTCCCAAAAAAAAGTATGGATTTTATTTCATAGCGGTTCCTTTAAGGAACAAGTCCCAAAAAAAAGTATGGATTTTATTTCATAACGGTTCCTTTAAGGAACAAGTCCCAAAAAAAGTATGGATTTTATTTCATAATGGTTCCTTTAAGGAACAGGTCCCAATAAAAAGTATAAAAGTATGGTACTCCA